ATCCACCGATGACGTTACAGAGCGCGAAGTGAACGTTGAGGACCCGACGGTTTCGTACCACGCGATAACGTCCGTCTTGTAAAGACTCGCGACGATGTCCGAGTCCGTATCTCCGTCGATGTCCACTGGAAATAAAGATGTCACGCCGCTCGCGGAGGACGAAATTGAGGAAGAGCTCTCGCTAAAGCCGATGTAGCGGCACGTGGGCTTCGACGTGGGCACGATCTGTAGGCACGGCGGACGGCGCGGACGTCGGCGCGGACGTCGGGGTCGAACTCGGCGTGTTCGAGGGCGTCGCCGTTGGTCGTGAGGTCGGGACGCTGCTTGGGGAGCTCGTCGGACACGCCGTGGGCGCCGTCGACGGGCCGGCGCTCGGCTGAGACGACGGCGAGCCCGTCGGCGGCACGGACGGCAGCGCGGACGGCAGGCCGCTGGGCGACGACGTCGGGACGGCGGATGGCACGCTGGACGGCATCGGCGACGGCGCCGCCGTTGGCACGGAGCTCGGCCGCGTCGATGGCTGGCTGGACGGCGCCGACGAGGGCGCGGGCGACGGAGACGCCGACGGTAGCGACGACGGGCTCGACGACGGCACGGAGCTCGGCGAGGCCGAGGGAACCGAGGACGGACGGCTCGACGGTGACGATGAGGGCGCCCCGCTGGGCAGCGGCGTCGGTGTGGACGCCGGTATCGCCGTGGGTGTGCTCGAGGGGCAGCCCGTGGGCACCGAGCTCGGGGGGCTCGTCGGCGAGTTCGAGGGCGATCCCGTGGGGGTTCCAGATGGGCACGCGGTAGGCGCAGAGGTCGGAGCGGCCGTGGGCACGGCCGATGGCGCTGATGACGGCTTCGAGCTCGGATGCGCCGAAGGAGCGCTGGAAGGGCAAGCGCTCGGGAGAAATGAAGGCCCGCTCGTCGGCGCGGACGTCGGGACGGCCGTCGGCACGGACGAGGGATGCGAGGAGGGAAGCGTCGAAGGAGCCGCGGACGGCGAAGGGCTCGGACCAGCGCTCGGTAGAGCCGAGGGCATGCTCGTCGGCGCGGATGTCGGCGCCGATGT